AATCTTTCATCGCAATCCTGCGATAGGCGGCGGGTGCGGCGTGTGCGACGCCGTGTTAGGGGAGAAGTTCCCGGACCCTGCGCTGGCCTACACTTAATTCCTGTTTGTGCTTATATTTTGACCCGAGACAAACAGGAGTGTAGTTGTCTCCAAGAGATACCGAGTTTTCCTTTATCATGGAAATTGTTTGAGGACTATTAATTTTTACGCTATTCTCGAGTCTAAGCCAACTTCTTAGAATTTACAAGGCTGCTGCGAACTTTGTAGGATTTTACTCTCGATGTTCCTTCAACTCGCAATTAAAGGATAAAGGATAAGGTTTTTGGCGTCAATCAATCCCGTCTGAGGGATGCGCCCACGCGATCGTCTTCCATTCATACCCGGGATTCGAACCCTCGACAATGCGTGTGAGGTAGTGCGCCACTTGCCACTACACCACCTCCGCCCTTAACCCAACCTTCAATTACTGCGGGGAAAAACGAGAAATCATTAGCGCAAGAGTGTCCTGAGGACAATACAAAGGGCTTTGAGGCGCCAACTTTGATAAAAAGTGTTAGTGGAGTATGATAGAATCTGTTAGACTTTGAAAATTACTATCACTTCTACAACTTCAGTCCTATCATAACAAAAGAAGTTTGATCGACTCACAGTCATCACTTCTGCTTTTCTATGTCATAATCTTATTTCCTCTAGCGGTTTCCACAGATAGAGATGCTGGGGATTCGAGATCTTCAACATCTCAATTAGGTTTTTTCCTTGAGTGTACCGCCATTACCGCACTCACTGAGGGCAATCCACTAGGTAGATTGGTTGGTCTCCACTGAAAAAGACTCCTATAAGGACATTGCGTCCAATGGCCTTTCTCTAGGTACCTGCCTAAAATAGCCTTGTTCTGGGATTATAAAAACTTGGTGAAATTTCAGGATTCTCTGGGACAGCATTCGAGAAGATTTCTGTTTATCGAGAACACCGAGGTGTTCTCGAATATAGCAGGGCTTACAATCAGCTATGTGATGGTAAGTAGCCTCTGAAATTACAGTCATCAACAATAACTGTAAATGGACTACAAACGGCATCTAAGGTGCAACACATTTCTATAGCTGGAAACACATGGGACTGGCTGGGAGAAAGTATAGTGGATTTTCCATATGCTGTAAATATACTGGGTAGGAGACATGCGGTAGAGAGGTGGGCTGCAGAGGAAGCCCGCTGCCAGGAGGAAGTATGTAGGCTGCTCCTTGAGCAGACACGTACTGAAAAGGCGCTACTTTTTGAGATTCCTTCAGGTTTTCTCGTTTTTTTTTAGAAAAGAGGCCTGTTCGGTCGCGCTCTGCTTTCCAGGAAAGGTCATGAGACTTAATTAGGTATTCTTGTAACTTTTTTCTTTATTTCTTTGCCACAGGGTTGTTGAGAGTTGAAGATTACTTGTTACCGAAAAACATCTCGAAGGGACAGGGGGCGATGAGAGCGTCGGTGTTTTTATCCTCCCAAACGAGCCCTGTGAGAAGCATTTGGAGGTATTGAGGTTCAGTTGGCCTAGACGAATACCTAACTTTATTCAGGTCCCGGCGCACAGATGTCCAGGGTGTCCCTGAGTAAGGATACGTTTAGCCGTATAAATACATGCTACTTGGCACCACCCTGTCATCGCCGGCATCAATACGGCACATTTGGTGTACTTTGTTCTAATTTTGTTATAAATTCCAAATTCGTAAATAGGGAATTATGAAAATGAGAGCATTTTGCTAATCAAGTATAGATCCAACAATCGGGATCCAAGTAACTTTGATGCGGGTGTGCTCGCAAGTTCCTAAGCAGCTAATCAGGTTGATAACTTTTGACTCATGGTTAGTTTTTGTTCCCTTGCTGAAACTTGTCTGAGGCAACCAGCATGTGTATTTTACATATTTCTGTGAAGGCTGTATTGAATTCTTCTTTTCAAGATTTTCTGAGTCGAGAAGATTTGATAGAAAAGCTACGAGCAGAAAAATTCGACGCGTATTTTGGTGAACAAATTAATCTTTGTGGACATGGATTGGCCTACATATTGGGGATCAAATCGCATTTTTGGGTGTCCAGGTAAAGAGTTGAAGAATGTACATATTTTGTCTTAACCAAGAGTCGTATATTTCAGTTGCCCCATCAGCGATTACATGGCCTGGCTGCTGGGAATGCCTCAGCCCTCTTCGTATATACCTTCGTTAATAGGCATGGATATCACCCATAGACCGACTTATTGGGAAAGAGCTCAGAACATTTGGTCAACCTTTCTGTATGTTCAATTCGCACGAAGGGGTACAGTTGAGGCCACCGAAATGTTCCGAAGGCGATATGGGTAAGTTCATAGCAGGCCATTGTAGAGTAATCTTCCTTTGGTTTTCGTTTTCAGTGCAGACTTCCCGAATTTGGAAGCGATTGCGGCTGACTCCGATATGGTATTCGTGAACACTGATGAATTTGTCGATTTTCCCCGTCCTACCCTTCCTCACGTAGTTCATATTGGAGGGCTGGGGGAAGCAAGTTCATCAAAGAGCCTAAAATTAAATGAGGTATGTCATTCCTAAGTGAGACCTCCGTCATCAATCGAAACAAAAGAAACAAATTCAGATATTCTCCGAGCAAATGGAGAAAGGATCGAAAGGAGTGGTGTACTTCTCGCTGGGAACGCTCGTCAACACATCATCGCTGCCAGCATTTGCGATGAGAGCCGTCGTAGATGCGGTCAAAAAGACTCCTGACTACCATTTCATTTTGGTTACAGACAGCAGAGATCACGTAAGAATTCAAGTTAAAAAGTCAAAATCTTGGAGACAAACTACGAAAGGAAGATGCACCGCTATATCATCGACTAACTTCGTTTGGAGCAGCACCAGCAACCGTACCGTAACATCATAAGATGGCATATCAAAGTCTGTCTCTTCCATGTACGAATGGGAAATTGAAGCATCATTTTCAAATACTCCAAGAGCATTCCAGCTCGGCTCAATGTTATTGCAAATTCAAGAGCAATGTATCCGTCTAAGGCAAAAGAAAATCAAAAAATCAAATCGTTTGACTTACGCCCTAATTTTTTGGTTAGGACAGCTGAAGGGCGTCCTATAAGAAGGAAACAGTTGAAGGATCAGCAATCGATGAGGTAGCGATAATTATCACGAGAATAACCTCCTTTAAATGTAGGGGGAGAACATTTTTATAGCTCTTTGTGCTGCGGTAAATAGGTGCTTCTAAATTCTTCCTGCATCGTTACTTCTGCATAGTTTCATGCCCGGGCTCTGAATTTTTGAAGCACCCCTTACTGCAAGGGAAAATACCAGCCCCCACGCGAGGGCTGCTGGAGCATGACAAACTTGTGAATTACGCTCAATTTTTGAAGGAAGATCAGTTTCAGTTCACACGACATCTTTGTGAAGCTCTGCCAAACGTCTTCCTGTGCAGTTGGGCACCACAAGCTGCACTTCTAAGTAAGTACCAATTACCATATTCTCTCATCAAAATTTGTCAGAGGGTGTTCAAGAGGATCATTGAATAGCCACAGATGTAGATGAGCTGCTGTTGGATTGAGGCGAAAACCATTCCATTCAGGTCATCCCCGTTTACAAGCTTTTATAACGCACGGTGGGTACAACAGCATTATGGAGGCATCACGATATGCTGTACCGCTGGTAACCATACCATTTTACTTTGATCAAGTCAGGTAAGGTCAAACTTTGCTTACCAAATTTTTTTCGAATTTGAAAAGATACGAATTTAAGGAACAGCCGTGCAGCAGAATTGAATGGCTGGGGAATTCCAGTAAACCGATTCTCTCTTCGTGATAATCCAGACGGCCTTTATCAAGCCTTACATGCTATTCTCAGTCATAAAAGGTATGTAGGTAGTTACTGTTGTATCGATTACAAAATGGAATAATCGAAAGTACGCCGTACTCCTCGTTTATAGTGTACAGCATAACTCTGTTCCGGGAAAGGAAGAAGTTAGATAAAAGTTCGACCTCAGTGGTTGCTGCAGGGCAACTAATGTACTGCTAGATTCGATACAATTAACTATGCATGAGATAATAAAGGCACGGTTCACGTTACAAACGGTTTCTGAGCTTTCTCCCTTCGATGAACCTGCGACCCCCAACGATAGCCTAAGGGAAATTGTCAGGTAGAAGAATAGGCAAGATAG